ACCATAGAGGCTGTAAATTTGGATACGAGTTGGGATTATTATTATACATAAGATTTTTTAAAATTTTTGGTGAAAAATGGTCGAAACAATCTCAAACGGAGGTCATTCACGATAGCCGCACCAAGGGTGCAACCGGGTTGGGCCGGGCGTCGAGTTGAGCCGGCCGACGTTAGACCAGGTTTGGGCCGTGGCCGACTTGTTTTGGTGAGTCCGGTTAGACTCCAGTAGTTTTGATAAAATCTGTATTTGTTAAAAAGAGAGTTGATGCACATTTATTTACTTGAATTAATCAAAATAAATCGGAATCTTTCGATTAAGTTGGTCAAGATTTGGACATCAATTGTAAAAGATATTAATTAATTGAATTTTCATATTAAAATTATAAGAAATAATTTATTAACTTAAAGGAGTTTGTGACTAGATAATTGTGAGATCGGACGTTTTCATAATGAGAATCATATATAATTAAATGTTGGGTTTAATGCATCCTAATTTATTTAGGATGTGAAAAATTCCATTGGGGGGGTGGGTGGGTTGGGGAGGGGGTAACATGACGACGATGTATGCTTAAGGCTGACTCGTTGACCATGCCAACCATACGGTTGACCTATTTGACTTTCGGGTTGACTTTTTGTGAAAAGTCAATACTCTAATTATGGAAATATAATTCCATGTTATAGGATGTTATTCAGAGACGAGATTTAGCTAAACGGAGCTATTCAGGTGAGTCTTCATGAGACTTTAACTGCGATGCATGCTTATGTACAAATTATTTGAGCATTACATTATTTTTTTATGTAAATGTTTATAGGCTTATTACATGTATATGAATTATTATTGTGGGTTGCATGCTATTTGTTTACATGTTTTTAAACATTAATTAGCATGTTATAAACGGGTCAATATTTTTGTCGGGTATGGGAAGGGGTCAAAAGTCATAAGGGATGACACATCCGAGGGCCGTATAATCCGGGGAAATATCGATGACGGTCAGACCTTAACCCGATGGGAAATTAAGAGATCTCATTATTATTTAAAAAGGGTTTGAAACGAATGTGCATATTGTTTTATTTGGGTTATTGTTTGTTTTATGCATGATGAAATATGTATGATTGTGCATAAAAACCATGAACTCACTGAGATTTATAAAATTGACTATTAGTATGCATCTCAGGAGCTGGAGGTTCAAGAACGGACAAGGGCAAAGGTTCTGCGTAAGAAATAGAACTATTTATTCAAGTTATGATTTATAAAATCTTTAGTATTTTAATTGAATTCACGTAACCCCGTATGAGATGGGTTAGTTTTGAGATATTGATTAAATTATTCTAAGACTTTCGCTGTAATAAGTCTTTATTAACCGCTAGTTTTTGGATTTGTAGTATTTTATTACGTGACACCTTATATTTGAAATGAGGGTGTTACAATTTATGCATTAAAGATCAAATGGAAAGTTTTATGCTATATTGTGGCTAAAATAACACTGATGGGTTATTCTTAAGTTTAACCTCTTATATCGTACATTGATATATTGGTATAACATAGCGGGTACGAATTGACAACTGGGATGTGTACAAATGTTGGAACCCTTTATGTAGGGTACTTGTTTATAAATGTACAAGCTTGGTGATATTATATCCTAATACTTATGCATGAGGATTAGGTGAGTTGTTGAGTCAATTGTGTTGTGCGACTCTTATTTAAATTACTAGTAGGTAGACACTAAAGGTCTAAGATATTCTTGAGGTGGAACTTGGCTAGAGGAACGGGTAGGCACTAAGGTTCAAGAGTCCTTGAGGTGGAACTCTTTAGAGTAAACATAAAAGTATATGAGGGTTTAAAGTGACACCATGAATGGGTATGTACTAAAACTCTGAATCTGAGGTGTAAACCAATAACATCATTATGTGGCAATACTTTTATGTTCTCGCCACTATGATGAAAACAAATCTCCCCCATCATCTAAAGATGTTTCGTGTATACATTGTCCAGGTTGGGACAACTTATTGTGATGCAAAAAAGAGGAAAATATTTGGCTCTTGGAAATCACAATATGATTTCTCTCCTCTCTCTTGATCCAGTTAAAAGATTTCATTACTTTTATAGATGATTTTACTTGCTTCACATTGATATATCCATTAACACACAAATCTCAACCCGTTGATTCTTTTCGCCATTTCAAGGTTCAAGTTGAAAATCTCTTTTCAACATCTATAATATTTTTCAGTGTGATGGTACATTAGAACTAACTCAAGGTCAAATGGTACATTTATTTCAGAGTCGGGAATCACTCCACGAATCTCATGTCCATACACCTCAATAAATTGGTGTTGTTGAACGCAAAAATCGCCATTTATCATAAATTGCCCGAGCTCTATTGTTTCATGCTCATTTACTGAAGATTTTTTTTGGTATAATGCATATGCCACCGTAGTCTTTCTAATGAATTGTCTACCCTCTCATATTCTATCCCATTCATCACCGTATAAACTTTTGTTTCATGAGCAACTGAACTACACAAGTCTTTGCACCTTTGGTTGTCTATGTCATTCGTTTTTGGGGTCTACTCGTGATGATAAATTGTCTCCCAAATCAACTACGTGTATTTTTCTTGGATATTCTTCATTTCATAAAGGTTATTTCTGTTATGATCCTACAATGTCCAAAACATACACTTTTCATCATGTTGTTTTTCACGAGTCAATCTTCCCATTCCAATCACGTTTTCATTCCACATCTTTTGATTCTATCGTAGTTCTTCCCTCATTTTCGACGGGTTGATGTCAACAATGTCTTTCTACACGGTAACTTGACAGAAACAGTGTATATGGTTGAACCCTCAGGCTTTGTTGATTCAGAAAGGCCACATCATTTTTGTTTTCTAAAAAAGGCTCTTTATGGTCTTAAGCAGGCTCCAAGGATTTTGTCCTCTAAGCTTTCTACCTCATTGATTGGTTTTGGATTTACATAGTGTGTATTTGAACCTTATTTAGCATTGTACATCCAGTGTTACTGCTTATGTCTTGGTATATGTTGATGACATTATTATTACTGGAAGTTCGTCTCAGTTTATTGTTGAACTGATTCAAAAGCTTCATGCACAATTTGCCTTGAAAGATTTAGGAACACCGAGTTATTTTCTAGGAGTTCATGCCATGTTTACAAATCATGGTCTTCATTAACACAAGAAAGGTATCTTTTAGATCTTCTTCAACGAACTGGGATGAGTCAATGTAAGCCGTTATCATTTCCAGATTCATCAGATCGACATTTATCTCGATTTTCTGGTATTCCGTTGGATGATTCCTCTCTCTATCAAAGCACTTGGGAGCCTTACAGTATTTGGTGTTGACGAGACTTGAAATTGCATATGCAATTAGTAAAGTTTCTCAATTTCTTCAGCCTCCAACTGATTGACATTGGACTGTTGTCAAGCGTGTTTTACGTTAACCAAAGAGCACTAGTACGAATAGTTGGTATTTCAATGTCCCTCTGCAATAGCAATTCATGCTTATATAGATAGTGACTAGGAAGTTTGCCCTAATGATCGTAGATCAACTACCAGATATTGCGTGTCTCGTGGACCCAATCTGATCAGCTGGAGCTCTAAGAAACAACATATTGTTGTTTGCTCTAGCATCGAGGCTGAATATCATGCTCTTACACATGCAGTTGCTGAATTAAAATGGATTTTTTTCTTTTATTGGTGAACTTTGTATCAATCTTTCTTGTGCTCCAACTTTATGGTGTGATAATCTTATGCTGCCTATCTTGTAACTAATCCAATGTTTCATCAACGAACGAAACATCTTGAGATTGATCTACACTTAATTCAAGATATGGTTTTGACTCAAACACTTTGTGTCAGATATGTTCCCACAATCACTCAGATTGCTGATATTCTCACAAAAGGACTTACTTTTGCACGATTTGTTCAGTTAAGATCCAAGCTTAACGTTGTTCCTAGTGTTAAGCTTGAGGGGGGATGTTAGACCCTATAGATCTGGGATCAACAGGGGATGTTAGAGTTATAAAGAGAAGAGTCTAGAAGTTTGTAGATAGTTGCATAGACTATAAATACCCTGTATCGTGTATCTTATTTCAACTAGTTCATAATACAACTCTACTTTCAGTTTTTAGTTTTCTATCTACCAAACTTTACTTCTAGAACAGGTTTAGACCTTGATTCTTGTTTTGTTCTTCTTAATCATTTTCCATTCGTTTGATTGATCTAAAAAATGTTTCAGAAAAACAAGATTGATAATATTTAAAACGTAAACAACGTTATTCACAATATATTAATGAAATAGAAAAAGACAAGACTGATATATTAACATTTTAAAAAATAGGTGAAGGCCAACTGTAATTTTGTCGGTTTTATAATGAATTTAAAAATACAACTATCAAATCAAAAGTCAAAACAAAATAAATACATTCATTTGGTGAAATTTAATTGGATTGTAGCGCCTCATAAATATTGTTGTCTACCCATTTTATTTTCCTTTGTGGCAAAATAAATGCAAATCATTTACCTAAAAAGTAAATAATAGTTTCATATAAAAAATTATAAATACATAATCTAAAAAAAAGAACTTGGTTATAATTATTGTTGTAAAAATTCGTTCTGATAAAAATAATTTAGATCAATTCATACGATTTAACTCGGTTCTGATATAGACATGGTTATTATTTATATATTGTATGATTTGTATCTGTTTTACCCGATCTCAATAGGTTTTTCATGATCATTCGGAGGTCAAAATAAGTTCGTTTTGGAGTACGATAATTCATCTCGAAAATAAGGACTAGTTTTAGTTTGGAGTACGATAATTCATCATATAGAATAAAAAAAAATATGACATGTTTTTCAAATATTTATACGAAACTACATATGAGATTGTGTTTTCTACCAGAGCCATGTAATAATTACATGAAAACCGCCCCCTTTCCATCTATAGACATGCAAACTCCGTGAAATCAAATGTAAGCTGTTTTAATTACTAGGACAATCTAAGTGCCATTTCGTGAAGAAGAGTTCGCTTCTGAGTTGCATTTATCACCAGATTTGTTTCGGCATTCTCTAACACATCTGCAACTATTCCGGCAGCATGACCAAGTGGTTCCTCACTTGTTCTTTTCAGCATGAATGCCTACAAATATACATACCAATAACTTAAACAAAAGATTCAGCAACAAAAGATTCACAAATCTTTTTTACCTGACCATGGTGTGAAATGGTCAATGTGCATGGTGACTGTAACCATGGCTCTCCATCTATTTGAACAGGCAATGGTGCAAGAAGCTGAATCTTGATGGTCTTCCCTTGTGCAAGTCTTCGAGCTCGAGAAAGTCCCACCTGCATCACATTTCCGTTTTCCATTTTATTAAATTCCATTTTCAGTTTCCATTTGAACAAGGGAAGTTAATCAAGTTACTTGTAGCTTTCCCAGATGCCAAGTTCCTGATATGCTCACAACCTCCAACATCTTATCGTGCATAGATTGAGGATCAAAATTATCATTGTTTTCGTTTTCATTCTGCCACAAGTCTACACCACCCATATAGCTCCCAATATTCGCAATAAGAACACCTTCAGCATCCTGCAAAACCACCAGAAAGACAAAACTTCGTCTTTTACCACATAAATTATATGCAGTTTTAATGGGAAGTTGTAGTGAAAAGTGTTGAATGGACCTCAGGAACCTCAACATCAACACCATCTACATCCACTCGAACTTGCCAAGGATAATCTGCTAATGTTCTGTCCATCATACTCCTCGCACCTTCTCTAGCATATAGAACTTTATTCATAAACTGCAATCACACTACCAAATTCATCAACACAAAAAGCAAATTCTAATCGATTGCCAATCAAGAACTGCAATGAACACGGGTTATCAACTGTTTCAAATCAACCCCATTTTTGCAATCAACCCAAATATTGCCTCCATTGTGATTGTTACACATCTATTATGATTCATTTTGATCCAAGATTTACTTTAATTTGAAAGTAAAAAGTATTTTGAGGGGAAAACATGTTGACCTGGTTATAGAACTTCTCTGGATTCTCCTCCCTTAGATTGTGAATATCAAGAGCAACCTTTGCATCACATCCAACCCCTGCAGTTATATGTTTCTAGCAACAATTAACACCCATTATCATAAAACAGAAAGGGGATTTGGACACAGGTGATGATTAGAAATGGTTAGTTCTTTCTTACCAAGATAATTATTCATAAATTTTGGGGGTCGAATCGGTCTTCCCTTTTGGTTTGCAATAGAAATATTCCAACGATCAAGGACGGTTACTGCAGCATGTTCCATGTGTTGCAACATAGTGCAGAGGCCTCCTTGTCTTTCTACCGACCCCAAACCACCTCCCCAATTCAAAACTCTGGCCAAATCATTTCCAGTTCCGGCAGGTAGAATGGCAACCGGAGGAGGAGACACAAAATTTTGCTTTTCAATGGCATCCAATACCCAYCCWACWGTWCCRTCCCCTCCACATAYAAGMAYYCTGAAATGSGGTACTYTTCTAAATAGATAAAGACCAACTTCTGGTCCCTCTTTTGAGCTCAACTCAAATATCTAGAAGACATTAATTCAAGCAAGTCTCATCAACATAACATATTTGGCCAAAAGAAAAAGTGAAGGTTAAATGAAGCATTTCTTGAAGCACATACCTGAACAGGGTTCAACAGAATATTCATTCGTAATCTGATTGAATCTCCTCGTTTAGCACCACTTTTCTTGTTAATGAAGACTAAAAGCGGCCTTGCATCTGGACGCAGATTGACCAACTCATATCTCTGCTTCATCTGTACCATTTGGGACTCATCTTTCTGATGACTCAATGAACCCCTTTTGTAACTCAGATCTTTGTTAACCACATCACGTTTTCCAGCATCATTCTTTAGATTAGCATCTGATGTGCTTTCTGTAGATGACTCCCCTAGACTACCTCTACCATCATATACAGAAACTCGGTTTCCCTGCTTGTTTTTCTTAGTTTGACTTACAATACTAGCTCGAACAGAAGATGCAATCTCATTGGCTCCATAAGTAATGGAACTCAAGATTCCACCTGATGATGACTGGTTCAGTCCCTTGACATTCAGAGGCGATAAAATCAGCCTTTTAAAAGGACCCATATCACAAATATCACCTGTTTCACGATACATGCTACTATGGCAGTCAACATGTATTAATCGCTGACACCATAAACAACACCATATTGCTGACCCCCCAAGAAAAGAAGCACTACAGGGTTCTTCACAATGAGTACAGAAAGAACTTCCATCTGGTTGATCTATCACCTCAGTCCACCGGATCGCCCACTGGTGTAATACGTGCTCAGAGCCCACCATAGATACACATTTACAGTCTCTGTGAGCATTTGGGGAACAATTGAGGTGAGCCACCGCACCACATATGCTACACCGGTGGATGAAACTACCAACAAGATCTTTTAGGCATACACAGCAGTTGAAGCTTTTCCCACGAGCTACACCTTCCAAATACCAAGTATGTGGTGCTACAAGATCCTTCCCACTTGATTTTGGATCCTTTTTTGTCCCTGCAATGGCTTTTGTCCAACTAAGACTGATGTTTCTTCTCCATTGAAAGGCAGTGTAGATGATGGTCAGTATACCAATAAGGCCAGCAATAAAGCAAGAGATAATGAAGAGATGCGATTCTGCCAATTCAGATGGACTCTTGTTCATCCATGCAGGCGGCAGGATCAAAGCTTCTCTATAATCATCCATTCCTTAAGTTCCTGTATTATGCATTCTACAAAATTCCTAACTCACACTCCTATTCTCAAAACAAGTGAAACTGTCATGCAATTCTGTCGTTTAGACCATAAAAAGGCAACATGCAAAGATTAATTTAAAACACTTTCAAGTCATCCTGCATTCTTCAGGATTTCGGTAAACTCACTCGTCAGCACTTGATCTGGGATCATATAAGCCTACAATTTTTTCTTCAAGAAGACCTCATGAATAAAGACGCATTACCTACAAAGCAGAAGAATGGTATGAAGTTTATGCATGATTCTATAATAAGTGTTTAACTGATAAGTAATAACCAAATATCTTAAAATTGTTCAAACTGAGAAAAAGGTCTTATACACCAAAAACAGAAGCACACTATAATAGTACAAGTAAAGATTTCAATGGGCAAATGAATCATCTTAGCCAGGAAATTTGCCAAAAAAAAAAAAGGAGATGAGGCTATGCTTATGGACAACCCAAAGTGGAAATTTCTTTAAGTTAAACCATACTTGCAAGAACCCAACTTCTAACACCTTCCCATATTTGATTCTTAAATTAAGTTGCTTAAATTATCATCCTCTAACCTTTTTACAGAAGTTCCAAGAAAACATGACTATGTAAACATCATTACTCTCACATACGTGATTAACCACATGTAAAAATGGAAAAACTAACGCCCAAGTTAGGCATGTCGCATGCAAATCTGATCACCTCATTTACACGACAACCGAACCCTCTTAACATTATTTTTTCCATTGCTCAATCGGGGACAAATTCACAAAAACCTCTTGGTCCACAATTGTTACTAGCAAGTGAAATCAAGCAAGTGCTACTTTGTGTTTTTACATCGATCAATGCATACCCAATTACCATAAACCAAGTTGTTCTTTTCCTAATTTCCAGCAGAAATCAAAGCTGCACACCCAAATATAGGCCAAAGGATGACAAAAATGCAAATAAGTAACGATATTCAGCCCATAAATCCTTCAAATTCTCCATGAGATGGTTTCAAACATGCACATTGTTGTCATTACATACATGTTGCATTACTCATGTATCATTGTTTTCATCTAAACAAATACTATATTTGTCCCCAAAAAAAGATATTAGCACAGAAAAGTTTTGATATCAAATATCAACAACATTTATGTCAAACTAGAATGTACATTTTTGGGGGAAACAAGGGACTAAAATTTACATGAAAAGGACAACAGGTTGAAAACCAAATCAACAAATAGAGATACTTACAGAGTGTATCTGTGTTTGTCTGTATGCAATGATCCAAATACGAAAGGTACGGATTCGAGAAACGAACAGAAAAACCCGAAAAAAAGAATCAATCATCCTGAATCACGCAAACAATAGAAGGAAAAACGAATAAATATATATATCGATTTTATTCACCAAAAAGAAACCAAGAAACTTGTAGATTTTAGCCATATATACATTGAATGATGTGCGTATATCTACGTGATTTTGTTCAAGCTTTTCGATTTCTTGTGGGCATTTCTCCAATTTCTCTGGAATTTATGTTAGGAAAAAAGAGATTCCTTCCGGTTTGTTCTCACCGGCGAGACAGAATTCCTTTTTGGTATGCATGGCATGAAAAAGCAGACAAGGACCACCTTGTACGAGGATTCTTCACCTGGTGATTTTGACCTAATTAAATTTTTAAAAAGTTAATTACACTTTTGGTCCCTATATTTTGTACAAAATTACGAGGAAGTTCCTAAACTAAGTTTATCATGGATTTAGTCTCGCTGACCACTATAGCCCTGGATCAAATCACCATCCATCTTCTCAGTTAACTATAAGGGTATTTCAGTCTTTTCCCATTTTCTACCTTTTTAGTGAGTATTTTTTCTATGTTCCTGACTGAATGTTCATCCTCTCCACATGAACGTTGAATAACATCAATAATATACCACACCAATAAATCAAACCAAACCTTAAATCCCTAAATTGAATTGTGAGGTGATCATGGTCTGTTAGCCATTTTCAACTATGTACCATAGCGCAACAATGGTTGCCGCTCGACAGATGAAGCTAGGACACCGAAGTCCAACAGGGTAGGAAACGGGATCTTGGACTTGATTTGGAACCACATATATACATCAGGGGGTTTCATCGGAGGAAAGAAACATAGAAGCAAAAAAACATGAGAAAGTTGTTTGATCGTTAACTTTCCCCAAAAATATAAGTTTTTCATCTTTCTTAGTTTGTATTTTCGAATTTGTTTTTAGTTTTTGATTTGATTATTGTTACTAGAAATTTTAGATGCACAAGGAAGCAAAATAAGATACACAGTTAATTTAACCATTTTATTTGATACTAGGAGTTCTAGATGCATAAGGAAACCAAACTAAAAGTCCAGGAAAAAAAAGAGGACAAGCAATATCAAATAATAAAAATTTGAATATTTTATGAAATCAACCGAAAAAACAAAAAGGTCTCCTGTAACGATGAAATTCAGTTAAAAACACGTTGGGTATAACACATAGTCTTGCATTTTGCTCAGAAGGTCAATGTCAATTCAAATTCAAAATGTATATTCCCGAAATTGAAATAATTGACTTTCCCTCATGTCAAATGGCATCGACTTTTCTCTCCAATCAAAACCACGACTTTACGGTACTTTGATTCACCTTAAAGGCGCACCTGCTCAAGAAAATTCCTGGATCCGTCACTGGTTGCAGATCGAGAAAATCCAGTTGTAGTTGGTCCAATTTGTAGATCGAGTAGATGATCATAGATGCATGAATGAGTTTGAGTTGAAGATATAGAAGAGGAAGGGGGTTCATCAGAGGAACAATAGAGAAGCAGGGGGATGTAGGAGTCTCAGAGATGCACCGATTTGAGGCTTCATCAGAGATGCTTGAGGCTTTTGGGAGATGCATTGACGTTGCAGGTGATACATCGAACTAAGGGGTCGTTTAGGTTTTACCTAAACACTTACCCGGTAAGCACTTACCGATAAAATCCAACACTATCGCTTACTTACTGAGCAAGATTTTATTCACTAAAACGCATGGTATGCAACAATTTATCTCGGTAAGCGCTAACCATGGTAAGAGTCCTCGTTTTCACTTACTGGGTAAGACTCGAGATTTTTGCATTCGCTCTTACCGGGTAAGATTCTTAGTCCTTGTCATATTCACCGGTAAAGTAAAATGACTTGGTAAGCGCTTACCCGGATAATCGTTTGGTAAACAGCACCTAAGTTGGAGGAGGGTGGTAAGCTTGGAAAATATAGAAGAGAAAAGAAAATTAACATTTAATAAAGAAAATGTTAAAATAAATGGAAGTGTAAACAACAGCTTTGTAAACAAATTCAAATGGAGAGTTGGAAACTATTTTTATTTATTAATTATTAACCTGGACATTTAACCTATCTTTATGCAATTAAAAAAAAAACGAAATATGAACACTTATTCAGGTTTGTAGGAATGGATGTATGCTTTGTTTTAAGGTAGGTCTGTTCTTGACATTTTATAAGCTTTCGGCGAGATATAAGAAAAAGGGTCCTCGATAAGTACGAAAAAAAGTAAGTTTATTGTTTTTATCATCAGAAATAATGTTGAATTTAAAAGATACTTATGATTCATATAAAATGGGTTTTTTCGAGTATTTCTAGACGTAAAATAAATCAATAATTACTTCTAAATTAATATTATCTACCATATTATTTTTACATAGCATCATAAATCCGTTCTACAACCAAACATAACTTTTGTTGATCATCTCTCTAATTGATTTGATTATGATCTCTTTTACCTATCGAAGTATAGTATTTATGTTATTTAGTTTCAGCGGTCATCACTGAACGTGTATTGTAATTCCTTCAGAGACTGTTATACTTCAAGAAGACAAAACTCACACTACAGATCCTTCAACAATGTCGAAGACAGAAGCTGAAGATTAGAGACCAGCAAGTTCGGGATTTAAAGTGGCATTCAGCGATTACAAGCTCGTCTACATATGTATGAAGTCTGTGCAAGTTTCAGCAATACTGAAGAGACCTTTCAACGTCATCCCGGTATTCAGCGATCAAATGAAACTTACCAAACACGATTGTTTTGTCTTGTCCTCTCTCACACAAAATACAATCTCATACATTTTCTACAGTATAGTACAGTATGGAGCCACTCCGTTGACTCCATAGTTTTATTTACTGTAGCAAAGGACAATTTTTCTTCCAAAAACTTGACACGTGTTTTGTACCTTCTGAATTGCATTTAATGCAATGGGTATATATAGATAATTGTTCTCCTCTCAGTTATCAATTCTTCCTCACTAAGAACTTATCCAAAAAATTACCTCTCTCTACTCTCTGTCTAAGAGAAAGAACCACTTTTAACAAGTGAATAACACTTTTATTCTTATATTTATTTCTTGTAGCAAATATTTTCTCTTTGCTATCTGTAATTGTGTGTACCTTAGATTGTTTAGATAGAATCTTTACCTTATCTCTTCCGCAAACAATCTGTAAAATTTGTATTAATCTTCTTTGTCAATATATAATTTTTAAAAGTAAAAGTTTATGTGTTTATATTTATCATTTGAGGTCACACTGTTGATTATTCAAAGTAACATTTTATATAAATCAATATGAATCAGTTGTGTTTCTATTTCAAAACATGTTAATGCTTTATAACATTTTTTTAAGGATTAAAACAGACTTTTTAGAAACCATCAATCTTAGATCAATATTCTCATTTTAGCAATATGAGACTACTTAAAATACATGCACTCAATATTTAGTAATAAGTAGTCAATAATGTATGGAAAAAACAAGGGTAATTCTGAAATCTTAAATATAAATATAAGTTGAATCGTCTCATATGTTGATATTTTTTTTCTCAAAATAACAAGAAATCTACTATATTCTAATATAAAAATATAATTCATATGGAGAGAATAATCAAAAGGGTTGGTGGGAGATGAATGATGGAGAATATATCAATGTTTTCTAGGCAAAATAGTTTTAAATTTTAATAGTAGATACATTTTTAGAGAAAACAATAACAAATCCTATAAGATGAACAACCAATTATTTTTTCACATATTTTCTTCTCCAGTATGATTAATTAAACATGGTTGGACCCTTATTATAATGCTAATTTTTTTGATCATATTAGAAGCTAAAAGAACTTGTCCCCCCCCCCCCTTTTTTTGATTAACTTGGATATTCAACCCGCTATTCGAGCTGACTAATCCCATGACGACCACTTGCTTTGCAGATAGCCCGGAGTCACTGTATTTATGTCCTTTTATTTATTAATACTTTTAAACTACTACTACATATTATATAGTATATATGGGGAAAAAAATTGAACCCTATTTTTTATGGACCCTCAACATACGTTCGACCTGCACTCCCTAAAAACGCTCTACTTTACGGGTCACTTGACACCCATAAGGTTTCAAATTTTTGTTTTTTAATATTAAAATTTTGTGCTTTATTGATAATACCTCTTTTTACACCCCTAATATATATATATATATATATATATATATATATATATATATATATATATATATA